GAAGTTTTTCTTGCAGATCTTTTCTTTTTTAATAACCCTATAATTAACCTTACCTATCTATGTGTATTTCGGGGTCCTTTCCTTGGGCTAATTATATTAAATAAAAACCCATTTTCTATTTTAGTTATTGATTCCAATGATATATAATGTAGGTCACTGGGTCTTGAAGCTGATGTAATTGTAATCAAAAATGCAGTTTTCTTGGTTAGGTCCCAAATTGTCATGTCCTTGTTGTACTCTATTGATATAATATGTTCCAGAGAAGGTGTTATATCAGTTACATCATCGGTTGATTGTGAAGGTAGATTTTTCTTATATATAGAGATCATTAACTTTGCAACGCACAGGTGTTGACCCACTGCTACGTTATCAATTGCTTCATTACTTCACTAATAGTGGTGTGGTAAGTTGCTATTGTATTGTATGCAAAACCTTCGATCAACATTTCCATTAAATAGTCTAATATATTTTTTAAAGGACAATATATAGGATCAATTGAGATCTCATCACATCAAACCAACTATTTTTTAAGTGCTAATCCCACTGTACTATTTGATGATTTTTGTGATGCTTCTTCGACTAGGCTAATAGCTTTTTCTGAAAACCCTTTCTTTTGGAGAGTGCTTCTGAGATAAGACAGGCAAAGATTTTCCACTTGGGATTGTGCATTGAATGTTGTTGACTTATTCATCCTGGAACAAATAGATTCTTGTCCATAATCAGTAAGGGTGGCTCGATTAAAAGGTTCAACAGTATCAGAAACCAAGATGCTGTTGTCCAATATAGAACCAGAATTACTATAGTTGCTTTGTTCTTGATTATCTTTGATAAGATCTTGTGGATTAGTATTCATGGTGGATTGACTCAACCTTTTTGATTCTTCCAGTTCTGAGTTAGTGCATCTACTGCTGCGCAGCCAGAGTCTGGATACCTCGAATAGTACTTCGGTAGTAGTGTGTTTATACAGTTGGCAAACAGGTCCACCAGTAATGGGCCTCAGATTCTCTGAATTTTTTAAAAAATCCTAGGTTTTATCATCCAATCATGACAGTCTAGTGCTCTTCTCAATGCTAAGTCTGCAAGTATATTTTGTTTGCTTGGTATGTATTGTGCTATTAATCTGATGTTCCATATTATGCATAATTTCTAAATTTTTTCTGCCAATAGACTCAAGTTTGTTGAGATCGTGCTCTCTTAGTAGTTTAGATAGGCTATGCAGATTATATTGTCTGACTTCACTATTACTACTTTGTCTTTTAAGTCTTTTAGTGCTAGGAAGGTATAGTGTATCGTCATTATTTCTAAGATATTTATATGTAGCTTGCTTTTTTTATGATCCTAATGACCAGAAATAAACCATGTGTCGTGCACTGCTCTCCATCTTGTTTTGGATGTGTTGGTATAAAGGACTGTAGTTAGAATGTCCGGAATCAGGCTTATGTCATTTCATTTTATTAGATTCTGTAACTACTATATTAGTTTTTGGCAGCTTTTCATAGATAGGGTTAGTATACAATTCTATTCTTTGTTTTTTAATGCTTTGTTTTTGTCCTTTATCAGGGCTCTCGTTATAAGTCTTGCTAGGAGTACAGCACCAATACTGGCTGAAAGTTTTCCTATCCTTGCTTGACTAGATTTTTTGAGAATAACAAATATTTAAGATAGAAAACAAGGAGCTTGTATTGGTACTTTGATGATCGCTCCTTTGTTCAGCAAAGCGTCTATTTCTTGTTTGATAATAAATCTTTAGTTTTCGTTTAGGATGATATCTTGGGAAATTGGTTGTATTTTTAGCAGAGGTAGTGTATACCATTCTGGTGTGTAACTCTGTGTCAGAATCATAGTTGTCTACGAAGGGCCTATGGACTGATCCCATTGCTCTTTGTAAAACACTAACCTTTCAGCTATACAGAAATCTTTCTCTTAATAACTTATTGCTCTGCTTGAGTATAGCGAGCCAGCTGTGAAGGCTGGCCACCTCTCTGTATGTTTCTTTGCCTGTTAAAATTTTTATTATAGTACCAGTAGTTTCTGTATCTATCACGAATTGAACTGGAATTGAAGCACGAATAAGTTGTCCTTGTGTTATTACTAGTGTTGTCTCTAGAAAAAGAAGCATGGTTCTTGTATCTAAGAGCCTGTTAAAAAAATTTATTGGTGGCATTCTCATTCTCAATAATAGTTTTGAGGTCTTGTCTAAATACTTCCTTATTTTCGTTAGGTGGGTTGTATTTAGGTGATATGCTTTTAATGGCATTGTCCCTTTGAGTCTTGTTAATATAAAATAAGGAGTTCAGTAATAATGCACTGGTGTTTTTAAGAGAATTTTTAATAGCTTTTCATGCGTAAATAGCTTCGGTCTCTTTGTCAGGAGGCTTTGATATGTATACAGATTTGAGCACATTCTCAATTGGTCGTAGTACTGCTATTGTTCTGTATAATACCTTTGATAAGGTTTTGTCAGTTTCCTTTGTGTATGAAGAAAGTAGCTTCCACATTCGTTTATCTATGGCAGGTGTGTTATATTTAATTCATACATTGCATGGTTCGTTTCTGAGAATTGTGGATCTTTCATCCTTTGAAAGTAATTTTCTCTTATGAATATTGGTTAGAAAACACACCATTTCACCATGAAGAGTCTATGCTGTATGTGGGTTCAGGTCATTAGCTTCAGAATTGGAGTCGATGACACTTGCACCAAACACGTTATAGTTGTCATCATCATCACGTGTGAAATTGAGATTTTTGTTAGTATCTTCATTTGTATTATTTTAAAATGTTTCTTGAATGTCAGATTGTTCAGTTGTTATAGCGAAGCAGTTATTAAAGTGCGAACTGCAGCCAAAATAAAAAGCCTAACTGCAAAATAATAAAGCTTAGATGTATATATATATAAAAAAAAGTCTATAGAAGTTTATATAACTTAATTATATAAAATGCTACAAAGTATAGGCAGCCAATAATAAAGCAGGCTAACTATATGTGATATTGTCTATCGAAGCTTGTGTAGTTTATTTAATTTTTTTAGACCATCGATTGTGCTGACGACTTGAATCAATTACTTTATTTGATACCTGTTCACCAGAAAAACTACACTTAAATGTTTGACAACATATAATCTCAGCATTGTTAACTTTAAAACATTCACATCATAAAAAAAATCCTACTAATTTTGCATGTTTTTTGAAATGTAATTCAGCCATTTCCCATGAAGAAAAAGAGTCTTCAACATTAATAATGAATTCTTCTGTTAGGTTAGTATAAGCATTTTGAACAATATTTGATTAGTCTTCAATGTTTGTAAGAACATTACGAACAGTAGCTAAGTAGTCTTTCTCATTATTTACAAGGTTATCTTGAGTGGCTATTTCATGATCTTCCTCATCAAAGTCGTCTTGAGCAGCTATTTCATAATCTTCCTCATCAAAGTCATCTTGAGCAGCTATTTCATAATCTTCTTCATCAAAGTTGTCTTGAGTGGCTATTTCATGATCTTTCTCATCAAAGTTGTCTTGAGTATTATTCACATGATTTTCCCTGGCAAACGTTCGATTGTCTTAAGGAATTATTAAGTTGGTTCTAACATTCATAAGATCTCCATAAACATCTACTTGATTGTCATTCTTAAAGTAATCAACAATTGCATCTATATAATCTTCTTCAACGATTATATGGTTGTCTTGAAAAATAGATATTTGGTTATCTTTACAACTTAAGCCAGCCCAAGCAATAACCACTTCCCTATCATATTTGGCAAAGTTATATTGTTTTAAAGATCTTCTGGAAAGTTATATAAATAGTCTTTGCTATAAAGGTTATTCCTTTTAGTTTTCTTTCTTACATTTCTTAAGTACAACATTTTCATAGAAAATTTAAATCGACAAACGAGTGTTAAATGCACGAACTTACCTTCCATTACTTCTGGCCACTAAAATATAACTCGAAGGTATGTATATACGTTGTGCTAGTTGGATTTACTTTATTTAAAGTTTTTTGTTTCTGTTGCAACTGCTAAATTTCTTTAATGTTGAAGAGGTCATGATTAGCTAATTTTTTGTTTGATATGCTTTTTGTCTTATTTAACTACAAATTGGGTAAACAATTTAAACTCTACATATCCTGTATAAAAATACTGTAAACAATGTTCATTAAACTCTGACAATTAGTTTGTTTGTAGTACATACTTTCACATGTAGCAGTGATCATCACCGCAGTTATTGTTAGTTTAATTCTTTGAAAAATATTTATAAATAGCTAAAATTGAAAAGATATAGTTTCATATTTTATTTTCTTAAAATTTTATTAAGACAATTATTAATTTGGTTTTATAAAACTAAAGCTTTTTGATTAGAAGTACATTTTTTATTTAATATACAAACCTGATTAGCTTAATAAAATTTTAAGAAAATTAAAGATATTTATAAATGCTAAAATTTAAAAAATTAAAGTTCTAAGAGTATAGCAATTTAGTGAAGTTGATAAGTTGTTGAGTTTGAATCCCATTAGTAATGAAATTCAAATTTTACAGAATGTGTTATAGCAGACTATGTATAATCTGATGGATTATCAGATTTGTAGCTTTGGTTTAGAAGGCTGTGAAATATTTAGTGTAATATATGAGTAATACAAAATCCGTGTGAAGCAACCAGGTAAATACAAAAGCTGGGATACACAGAAACCTGCTTAGCAAGTTTTGAGTAGAGAGATGGCACTGAGGAATCAGAAAACTAAACAGAACTGAGGTGTTTCATATTGGCAGATTTTTGGAATTTATTATTAAAAATTCCAATAATATTTAATTGTGAATAACTTTTGATCCACTGGTCCATTTTCGATAAAACAATTACCAAAATGTTCATCTCGATGAGATGATTCTAATAGATTCAAAATTGTCAAAATCTAATTACAGGATCCCGAGGTTGATAGAGATTTGTATCACTTCAGATGTTTTAGAATTGGTTAAACTAATCCTAAAACATTCGAAGTGAAACAAATCATTAACAATATTGAGATTCTGTGGTTAGATTTTGATAATTTTAAGTAATTAGAATGAATTGTCTTATCGAGATGAACATTTTGGTAATTGTTTTATCAAAAACAGACCAGTGGATCAAAAGTTATTCACAGTTAAATATTAGAATTTTAATAGTAAATTTCAAAAATCCACCGATATATAGCAAGACACTATACCAACCAGGCTATTAGTATATATTAGTGAAAGGGTCTGCTCTTTCAGGCTATCTGAATTGAAAGTTTAGAGAATCAGAGAAATAGTGGATAGTTTATATAGTGGGTGCTGGGATTTGAATAAACTCTACAAGAGCAGAAGTAAATAATAGTAGTAGCTTTAGCTTGCAAGTACTTGTCTTTGGACTTAGTGTAAATTATCAAAGTCTAGATTAGTTGGATTGTGGGTACAAAAAGCTTTAGCAGGTTTACCTCAAGAACAAAGGGCTTTCTATAGGATATGTGCTTGTCTTAAAGTTCTATATTGGGAATCTAAAAATAAGAGGGTACTAATGTATTCTTGTCTAGTTAGAAATTAATGTATATAGACGCAAAGGGTTTAAATAGATAACTCTTAGTTGGATTATAGATATAGCATCTAGTGTAGAATCTATAATATACAGTTATCTATATATAGACTATTTAAATAAACAACCAAAAGTTACACATGTAGCTAGTTATACTCTAACCAAAATTATATATGTGGCTAGTTATACTCTCCCCTATGTATATAGTATATTGTATTATTATATTAGTAAATTTTATTAGCATATTTTAGAAAATTTTATTAGTATATTTTATTGGTATAATTTATATTTATTATATGTTTATTTTTAACAATATAGCATCTAGTGTAGAACCTATATTATACAGTTATCTATATATAGACTATTTAAATAGACAACCAAAAGTTACACATGTGGCTAGTTATACTCTAACCAAAGTTACATATGTGGCTAGTTATACTCTTCCCTATATATATAGTATATTGTATTGTTATATTAGTAAATTTTATTAGCATATTTTAGAAGATTTTATTAGTATATTTTATTAATATAATTTATATTTATTATATGTTTATTTTTAACTTTATTTTAATAGTAAAATTTTTGACAAATAGTATTAATTTTATATAATATAATATTAGGTACGTTAATGGGTACATTAATTGGTACATTAATAGGTACATTAACAGGTACATTAACAGGTACATTAAATGGGTTGTTAAATAGGTTGTTAGAAGGGTTGTTAAATAGGTTGTTAAAAGGATCATTAACTGGGTTGTTAACTAGGTCATTAACTGGGTTGTTTATTAATAGTCCAAAAGATATAAAAACCCTGCCTTTTTCTCTAAGGCAGAGCAGACTGTCTTCTCCCTACTTTTAATTTCTTGTTATTTACAGTTGATTTTCTTGAAAGTATAGCCATCATCTACTTTCTTTTTATTGTATTTAATAAAGCTTTTATTGTGTTTTTATTGTATATTTAAAGTTAAGCCATCACCTTTTCTTTTTTTATTTTTAGTTTATTGTTTTACTTTAAAGTCTCTTTTAGTTTTCTTTCTTATTTTATTATTTTCTTGTTTGCAAACACATTTCTTAACCCTCTTATATGTTAAGTCAAATAGTATAGCTTTACTAAGACACTATATTGCTATATTACAGTATACTATACTTTAAAAGAAATCCAATAATTTAGTTTATAAAAATAGAGCTATTTTGATTAGATGAACATTTTTTATTTAATATACAAAATTGATTAACTTAATAAAATTTTAAGAAAATTGAAGATATTTTATAAATAGCTAAAATTTAAAGAGTTATAGTTCTAGAGTCTATTTTTTCAAAATTTTATTAAAACAATCACTAATTTAATTTATAAAACAAGAGATATTTTGATTAGAAAAATAATTTTTTATTTAATATGCAAAATTGATTAGCTTAATAAAATTTTAAAAAAATCAAAATATTTATAAATAGCTAAAATTTACAAATAATCTAAAATGCACTATGGTGTTTATAGTGTTAATAAGTTTTTAGCTAAAATTTAGAGTTAGAGTGCAACTTTAGATTAAGATAGAGGTCAGATATAAAGGTCTAAATTTTAGTTAGCATAAGGTTTTTGGGGGTTCTGAACATTTTTACTTAGTATCTTTAAGAGGTGTTAGCTAGTATGTTTTTGAAATATAGCTAATTATAGTGTTCAACACCATAGGTGCATTTTAGTAGTGTTGAAAATTTAAAGAGATATAATTCTAAAGCTATTTTCTTAAAATTTTATTAAGACAATTATTAATTTGATTTTTTTTTTTTTTTTTTTTTTATAAAAAACCACATTTAAGTGTACTTTATTTATATTATATAATTACATATTTACATTAGGGTTTAATAAAGCTAATTATATTTTTGGCTCTATTGAATTTAGTATTTATATTCTGATAAGCTAATTTATATAAAAGGTTGTACTTGTGATTAAGTCTGATAGTAACTATATTGGCAATAGATTCTTGAGAAATTATTGTGCTTTCCCATCTAGCTTGAGTGTATTAGCACCATATTTCATAAATAGTGATTATATGAAGCCAAATTGCTGCTTCTTTCTTTTTCTTGTCTTTAATGTTGATTGCTTGAAAGATATTATCAAGTGTATATGGTGTAGGTTCATTTTCTGAAACCTTAAGCAACTTATATACTGTATTTCATATTAGTTTGCTTAAAAAACATTTTAGAGCAAAGTGTTTAATTGTTTGAGTAATATATAGGCAGTTGGGGCAATCTTCTAAGGTGTTTTGATTAATATAAATTAGACGGTAGCCTAATGGGAGTGCTCTGTGATATAGGTACCAGAAGGTGTCTTTCTTTTTATTGAGTATCTATTTGGTGCTCAGCTATTTGTATTCTGGAAGTTTTTGGTTTTGGTTGTTTTCAGTTCTGATTTGTGGGTTGGCTGCTTCATATAGGCCTTTAAGTGCTTCCTTTACAGTAAATTGTGAGCCATCTTTGTTGTTAATTTTAATTTGTTCAAGTGACCAAGGCCAGTTATGATTAGCTTCAATGTTGTCTTTAAATCTTTTTCAGGCAATTATATAAGGCTTCTATTTGTCTGACTATTTTTTAGTTTTGCAAGGAGTTTGTGTTAAAGCTTTTCTAGGGTCAAGGTTTTTTTTGTTGTATAGCTCTGAAGTTGCCAGAGCTCTCTCAGTTGTGGCCCAAAATGAGGTACTTGTAAGGAGTTTAAGCCAGATAGAGAATAATCTGGCATCTAACATGTCCTTAAGAATAGGAGCTGTTAAGCCTCTCTGTTCATAGTTTTGAGTTCCTCTTGATTCAGTTTACTATTAATGCATTAATTTCATTGAGTTGTTTTCTTGTTAGCAGGAGCAGATATGCCAAGTATCAGATTTTTGAAATTAGCAAGGTTTTGGTAGTCAGAATTTTCCCTTTAAAGAATAGATTTCTTTGGGAGAGGTCCTGTATTTTGTTTTTAATTTTTTTGGTGATATTGCTCCAAAGAGTTTTGTCAGGAAAGCCTTTTAGATCAACAATATATCTCAGAATAGTAAAGATATTTTGGTTCTCATCTAGAAGCTTAAAGCCAAATTGGTTTGCAAGTTCGATCCTTTGTGCATTGTTTGTTAATAGAATTAATGTAGACTTTGCTTTGTTGATTTTGGCATTTGAGGCCTTTTTGTATTGTATAAAAATCTTTAAAAGATTGGACCAGTCTAGTGGAGAGCCTATTCCTATAGAAAGATCATTGGCATAGGCTGCTACTTTAAATACAGAGTTATTGATTCTAATTCCTCTAACATCTTGGTTAATTTTCTAAATCAGAGGATTAATAGCTAAAACA